ACTACTGCTACTGTCGACAAGAATGATAGGATGGTCTTAAAGGTGCACAGTGGGACCTCCATTTAAGGTCTTGTCTCTTCATAATCCTCTAGATGGGGTTTTTCACATCTAACAGAACCTCCATATAACGGACTTTCCTCTCCATATTGTCCGTTAAATAGAGGTTTTATTAATACAGATATGTGACCCCGTATGTCTTTGCTGACCTTCTGTTTGTCACTGTGCAGTACTTCACCGACAACGGGGACCCAACCATTGTCACCAACGATCCATCGTACCAAGGACTGATAGGCCAACGGGAGGGCCTCTCTCACTATGACAAGCTGTTGGCCAACCGCATGTATAGCTGTATTGGTGAGTGGTGTTAGATCTCTTGTGTACACTGGTAGTTTTCGTGTGTGAACTGCTCTGTGTGTGTGTGTGTGTGTGTGTGTGTGTGTACTGCTCTGTGTGTGTCTGTGTGTACCGCTCTGTGTGTGTGTGTGTGTGTCTATATGGTCAGCATGCTCGCCTCGCAAGCGAATGGACCCGGGTTCGATCCCCGGGCAAGGTGAAACTATGGGCAAGATTCTTTACTCCATTTGCCTCTCTGTCTACCCAGCAGTAATTGGGAACCTGGATGTTAATCGATGCACGGATCGTATTCCAGGGTAATGGTTAGCCAGTGCAGTTGATGAGTTGTCCGGTCTTCTCGGACTATTCCTTGACACCGGGTCATGCAGCTCGTTAACTCAGGGTGTGGTTGTTGTTTTGGCGACAGCTTCTACACCTTAAACAAATTCACGTCTAGGTGGCCTTAGGGCCGGCCATCCTCGATTTCGAGGAGCTTCCATTATTATTTATATTTTATATGTATATGTGTGTATGTATGTGTTGTGCTCTGTATCGTCTTGGATATAACTTATAAATCATAAACCCATGAAAATGTATTAACCTGAGTCGTGTTTTGGTGGGCACAGATAAATGGCTGGTGGTGTGTGGGTTATCATCAGACCCGTGTCAGAATTTGGGTTATACCGGCGCTGACTGTTCCTGTGTCTGTCCACCTCACACTGATGGCGTTTACTGTGAAAGCGTCATTGGTAGTTATTACGGTAAGTTAAGCGTTTGTGTATAATATAATTGGTTTGGTGATGCACTGTCTACTAACACTCATCTACCTAACCTAATGTAACCTAACCACGAAATTTTCTCTCTATAGATGAAAAGATAGATAACTGCTCGCAAGTTATCACTGAGGAAGGAAACATCACATCACCTGACTTCCCCGGCTATGTCTCAGGTAAAGTGGTGAGAGAGAGAGAGAGAGAGAGAGAGAGAGAGAGAGAGAGAGAGAGAGAGAGAGAGAGAGGCAATGTATTACTTTATAAAGCCACAAGATCTCACCAGATACTTATATTTATTATGGATTATTGACAGAAGTTGGGTTATAGACAGTATATGACAGACAGGCAGGTGAGGGAGAAGATACTTGACATTTTATTTTTTTTCCTCCTCGCCAGGTTTGGATTGTCCCTACCAGATCATCGCTCCAGTCTGCCACGTCGTTCAAATCGTCTTTACCCAGTTTCATTTGTATAGACGGGACAATAATCGATGTTACTTTGATTACTTAATAATTATGATTGATGGTCCCAGCTCCTCTGAAGCGTGAGTATAGTGTGTGTGTGTGGTGACGTTGAGATATTTAGTAGGTGTAAAAGTCCACAATTAATAAGACATTAGTGATGTTTTTTTTATCACACACACACACACGGTGGGGCGGGGCTCCAAACACCGTATCGTGTCAAGCTATAATACACGCACTAAATAACCCATAGAAATAATAGTATAATAATAAGTTCCAGTGATAAGAGAGGTCCATGGTTGTCTAATTCAGGGTGTCACTCCTTTCTTCAGGTACTGCGACCAAGAGATTGCCGTCGGCACCTCATTCACTTCTGTTGGGCAGGAGTTGAACCTCTTTTTCCAGACCCGTACCAACTATTATGAAGGCTGGAGTGCTGAAGTGACCTTTATACCCGTACCAGGATGCGAGTAAGTATGAAATCATTTCTTTTTATCAGCAGCCAATCTACACCCCCCCTGTCATATATATATATATGACAGGTGGTTTATTTTTATATCGTGTGTGCGTGTGTGGCGACCTGTGGTATAATGGTCAGCATGCTTGCCTCACAAGCGAGCGGTCCCGGGCAGGGTGAAACTATGGGCAAGTTTCTTAACGCCATTTGCCTCTGACACTGGGTCATGCAACTCGTTAACTCAGGGTGTGGTTGTTGTGTTGGCGATAGCTTCTACACCTTAAACAAATTCACGCCTGTGGCCCATGGGCCGGCCATCCTCGTTACACGAGGGGCAACCATTATGTGTGTGAGTGTGTTTTAATTTGGCAATACATAAAAAAATACAGGTTTCCCTTTTCTCTTAATCCAGAAGCCAATTTTGTATGCTATCAGAAATTGGAAATGTGGATCAGAGAGTGTAATTAATTGGTTATATAGATTCAGCACGTTCTGAATGTACACAATAAAACTCCAACCTAACCTAACACATCTTGTTCTTATAATTTCAGCCCCAGCACCTCCACTACCACCACCACCACCACCACCACCACCACCACCACCACCACCACCACCACCACCACCACCCCCACCACCACCCCCACCGATGTTACTTGTAGGTAAGGACGGCACAGGAAGAGAGGAGGGCTTAAGCGATCGACCAAGCTAAACCGTAATAAACACTCCCTCCACCACAAGACACTCTAAACCTGTTCGACTTTGCCGCTGACGAATGTGGAAGATTAATTTACTTACTCGAAAGCACCATTCTGAACACCCAATCAAGTACCGACTGCCGTTCTCAGCTGGTCTAATGCACGTGTGAAGTTTTCGTGTGTTCAGTTTTTTCATCACTTCTTTCTTGAGTAAACGTTAAGGTTCTGTATACATTTATAACGATAATGAAAAATAAATTGGGTTAAATATTGAAAAAAAAAATGAAAATGAGGATAATATTGAGCGTTTATTGGCAAGAGTTTCGTCAGTTTATACAGTAGGCTGGGGGCGATGGATGGTTAAAACTGAGAAATATTTTACCTTTCAGCTTGGCATAGTTATCACTGGATTGTGATTGCAGTCGTTAATGTTTATAAGGTAAAAGAATTTACTGTACTATATAGGGTAAATATAAATGAACTTTACTGTATTTATTACTAATGTGTACTGCATCGAGTGTCAACACCCTGACAATGCGAGTGTGGGGACCCTGGAACAACGGTTATGTAATATCATGCTTAAGAATATTGTATATGCAGAACGTCATCAAACTGTATTATATAAACTAACAGACGAAATTTATTGGCTCTTTTCTTCGATCAAAAGTTTGCTTTCAATATCATCGAAAATTGTATCATTCAAATACATTGTATTCTCTTGACTTGGTAAGCGTTTTATTTTCGTCATTGAGTTGAGAAAATAGAAAAGAAGTTGACACCAGTTGAGGGAGATGGGCAAGGTGAAACTATGGCCAAGATTCTTTACGCCATTTGCCTCTCTACCCAGCAATAATTGGGAACCTGGATGTTAATCGATTTGCGGATCGTATTCCGGGTTAATGGTTAGCCAGTGCAGTTGACGAGTTGTCCGGTCTTCTCGGACTATTCCTTGACACTGGGTCAAGCAGCTCGTTAACTCAGGGTGTGGTTGTTGTGTTGGCGACAGCTTCTACACCAACTTCCTAGACAAATTCTTTTCAGGATAATAATTACAGTCTAAAATATACAACAGACAATAATTTAAATACCAACATCAGATTCTCTGATAATTGGGAATAAAAATTGTCTAACTTCAGTATCAGTTGAAACTCAGGGCGTCCCTAAGGACGATGTTAGGGATTCGTCACTTCTACTGGCAGACTCCACACTCACTTATTTGACACGTTTTATAAACAGTAAATACAGTTGAAGCTTTCAACATCACTCATGAGGGATCTTGAAGGTTTCATCTGTAATGAGACATATCTAATTTGACATAAAATATACACATTCAGTTGCAATTTCAAATTTCATAACACGAGATGAGATACTAAGGAATATCAGAGTCTCGGTACTACATTGAGAGAAAACGGAGGCCTCAGGCGATGAGAACATGAACTTCTCATCTGGGGGACTCAATAATGAAGTTATATCTACCTGTTTTGGGGGGGGGCTAATGAGCATAAAATGAACCGTCTGATTTTACGTTAACTAACATGTACGACCGTGGTCAGTACAGCAGTGGTGATGGTAATAGTAGTAGTTGTGGTAGTAGTAGTAATTCTGGCATAAGTAGTAGACTAGTAGTAGCAATAGTTCTTATGGTGGTAGTAATAGCAACAGAGGCAGTAGTGATGGTGGTTTTGATAATAGTACCAGTGATAATACAGTAGTAGTATTAACATAAATAGTAGTATACTTAGTAGAAGTAGTAGTAGTAGTAGAAGTAGTCGGAGTATCCCATTTTGCATCATACTTAGACAACTGAAAATCAACAATATCTGAAAGAAACTTTATTGGAGCCATTTGGGTAGATTTGTGACACATTTATAGAAAATTAAATGTCATAGTGCTATAATATTTTCTGATCAAGGAACACAACTCTAATTACAAACTGCAGCTGACAATCTAACTCACACACACACACACATCTGACTGGTTCACTGAATGGTTAGGTTATAGATTTCACTACAATTACGTACAGTTGAAGCTTTCAATATACGTATTACTGTGTTGATCTTCAATACTTCAGCTGGAACCAAGGATACACATCTTAAGACTACATTATGAATTCAAAAGTATTCTTGACTTTACATACAACATACATTTCAGGGAGAGAATGGATAAGTTAGGACATACAAGAGAAAATGGACAATTTTAGGGGATGACTGAAGAAAGAATTCAATTTTTTTTATTGATTGTTGAGCGTAATTAAGTTATTTTATCCAAAGGTAACTAATGTGTAACAATTAGTGGTGGTGGTGGGGGAGTAAATTGGAGGCTTGGTGTAGCTAAGAGCGACACTACTTCTTAAAATAAACATACAGTATTATCCACTAACACGCTGCGGAATCTGGCGGCTTTAAATATGACCAAATAATTCGTTCTTGTTTATCCAAAAAATATTTTAACCCAGACTTGTTTAAACGAGATAAGTACATAAACAAATAGTCTAAATACAAATGATTTTGTTCCATCGTCGACCCGGCGCCATAACTTAATTTGCTCTTCAAACTGACATTCGAGTCCATTTTCTTCTGTCTCAGTTCAGTCTTGCATCGTGTTCCGTAAACTAGATGACAATATGAACTTTATATATATTCCACCAGTAACTCCCGCATTGTTATTTTTTGAAGATAATATTTGGGTGTAACTGAGAAACACACTCACTTATTAATTACCACATAATTAAAGAAACCAAAATTAACATAAAAAACGTCAACACGTATATTCAAATGAGAAAGAGGGAACATTCTTCTGTCATGTGGTAGAGATGGGTGCAGCTTTTTCATACGACACGTGTTGTGTTATACGGAGGAAAACTTCCTCTCACACTAGGCTTCAACAGGGTGTATGTTCGTAAGTCACCTTAACCCCTCAACTCAGACGATCTCACCCATCGTCTCACCCATCGCGCTTCTGAAAATTTATCAAGTATTCCATTCCTTTAATCACCCTCTTGTAGCCTCAAGTATGTTAAATATCGCACTTTTATTTGTGATAAGTAGTTGTGACGCCATTTTGAATTGGCCAGTATGTTATATAGAAAGATGAAATGAGGCAAATGTACTTGGTAACTTATGAACTTGATTTACGGTTAAATATTTGGGTAATTGTAAAGTTTAGTGGTTTTAGTTTTTTCTTTAGGATTTATGTTTTTTTTTGTCTTATACCTATAATTGTACCAGATTGTAGAGGATTGTTAAAGTTGGTGGAATTTTAAAACACACTCAGTATATGTTCTAATGCATTCTCACATTTTATTTCATCATGATTAATAAAATAGTGACTTTAAATGTTCCAAATACCAATATTTGTACCTACGTGAGTAAATAATGAATGTTAAGCTGATGTGATGTCCTATTTGCTACTCTGAATGATGTTATAATGTGGGTAATTTTGAAGGTAAAACATATGGCAATACGGTAGTTTAGAAACGTGACTCCGGCGGGCCTTGTTTCCTGTAACCCACACCCAGAATTTCCTTACCCAATTTTTTCCCTTGGTTGTTGCTCCGGTGGAGTTTAGGTACAACCAGTGTTTGTTAGGTTAGGGTTAGCTAAGTTAGGTCAGGTTAGGTTACATATTATTAGATGGAATATTCGAACCTAATCGTTGGACTTACCCAGGTTTTTTATCAGAAGTTTTTCTGTTAACGAATTTGAAATACAGTACGTATATAAACAGTACAGGGTGTTTCAAAAGTACGTTTCATAATTCTGTCTATGGGGAGGGGGTGTAATGCCGAGACATCAATCACAGTACCGTCTTCATATCTGAGGGTTGGCGACCACAGTCCTCCACTCTAAACATTCTCGGGCTGTTTTTCCTTCAACACCTTATAGTTTCAAAGTTACAACGCATGAAAATTGGGGTTAAAATGTGATAAAATATCTATGAAGTATCAATGAAATAATAGCCAGTGTTGCTAGTACAGTTTATTTACAATCCTATACAATCTCATATGGATTTTACAGGATATGTTCAAAGTTCCGGCGGTCTTCCTAAATCTTATACCACTTACTTTAAATAGGGTTTTGATATGTTATGTTTTATGTCTATAGACTTGTGGCAGTCCTCCTCTACCCAGTATTGTGTTACAACTCCGTAACTGTGTGGTGTTGACACTGTGGATACGAACTTATTTAGTATTATACAAGTCTCTGGAGTACATTCTTAGTATTATGAAGCGTATGTAGGGCTATTTGTTTTATCTCTCTAAGTGTTTTTTGTTTTGTTTTTGCTTTTGTAGTTTGTTGACAGGCTGTGGAAAGTAACGTTTTAAGGTGACAGTACACTTTATTACTGATCTGCCGTAGGTTAACATTTCAATTAAGTTTATAAACATAATCTTAAATTCAGAGTGTTATTGAAAATAAAATATATTGAGACATTATTAAACATTTTAGAGAACATTAGTAAAAGCAATGTTGGAGAGGGTGTGTTTGGGCAAATAAGTCTCAGTTCTAAAGGGGCCCCAGTGATAAAGGGGCCCCAGTGATAAAGGGGCCCTAGTGATAAGGGTGCCCCAGTGATAAAGGGGCCCTAGTGATAAGGGTGCCCCAGTGATAAGGGGCCCCAGTGATAAGGGTGCCCCAGTGATAAGAGTGCCCCAGTGATAAGGAGCCCCGGTGATAAGAGACCCCAGTGCTAAATGGGCCCCAGTACTAAAAGGGCCCCAGTGCTAAAGGGGCCCCAATGCTAAAGGGGCCCAAGTCCTAGAGGGGCCCAGAGTTAAAGGGGCCCCAGTCCTAGAAGGGTCTTAGTGCTAGAAGGCCCCCAGTACAGAGGGGTTTCAGTCCTAGTAGTTAGGTTGGGACTTAGTAGGACTGGGATTCATTTGACTCGCAACCTTAAAAATGTGAGTGTTGTTGAGTGACAATAATGGCTGTCCACCGCTGCTGCCCGTGGACACGTTCCCTACAGTACTGGCGAGCGGAGTAAAATATTTAGTCTGTTATAGAAAAAAATAAATAAAGGATGAGGTCACGGGAATGCTTCTTGTAAGTTGTGGGTTACTGACTGCCTCAGACAATGCCTTATTATTATTGATATATCCAAGACACATGAGCTTCGTCTCTCCACTTGGGATGTTCAAGACGTTGGCTGAACTGGTAACGACGAGGGAGTGAGGCAGGGTAGTCTGGGTGGTGGGAGGGATGAGTTCTTGGTAGGTGTCGAGGGCTACTGGGAGTACTGGGAAGACCTCTGTCGCATCACCGCGCCCCTCCTTGCAGCGTTCCAGCACACCAGTTCGAAGGGTCCAAATCGACAAGCAGCCGGTCGTCGTCCGGAGCGACGCTCCATGGCGGCAAAGAAATCCTGCTTCTTTTTTTTGGGAACGAAGGGTCTCAGTCCACGAGCCATAGATTGAATGAGGTCAACCACCGATCCGAGACGACGGGGAGGCTGCCCCTTAGCCAAACCGAGCGTGACATCCTCATCACCCTCTCCTGCTTCCTCGCTGAGAGGAAGGGCCATGGCTAGCGTATCCTGGGGGTCCCAAGCTGCCTCTTCCTCCTCAGGCGCAGGCCAGTGCCGGTCAGGGTGCCAGGCTTGGCTCATCCAGACTCCAGTGTCGGCACTAGCGGCGGGCCTCACGTGCTGCAGGTTGGACAGCCACGAGTCATCACTGGTGGCCGGCTGCTCTACCGCCATACTTAGCGCCACCATTACCGCCATCACCACCGTGTACGTCGCCTGCAACACATCATTATTAGTACTATGATCAAACACCATTACTCATGATAATAACATAATCAGGTCAGCCACAACAACACGGTAAGATATATGCTTAACCCCTTGACTAATGCCAGGCGATTTTATACAGCACAGAAAGGATTAATAAACTACATCCACTAATGCTTCTCCCAGAACATGATCCGGTCTTGAACAATTTAACAGTGATGGTTTAATTCCTATTTACTACATGATCAACGTTAGTGATCCAGAATATCTAAAATGTCAGCTTTAAATGGTTCATAATCATTACATATATAGAACAACATCAAGTAGTGTAATGTCCCGGGTAAATAGTGTTGGTCACGAGTGTCACAGATACCTGCCCAATGTTATTTCCAACTCATGATCACTCTCTTGTCCTCTCAAGTGGTTATGTTCAGTGCTGTTAGGTTAACTTAGCCATGGTTTGAGCTAGGTTAGGCTAGGCTAGGCTATAGGTTTAACCTACACTGGTCCCGTTACATTAGATTCAAAGTCTGGGAACAATATATAAACCTTATCCATAGCCTAGTAATGTGAGCCTGTCGACACCACCTTGATATATATAATAGTCATGCATCTCTTTCCCTCTGCCTGTCTGCAAGGATTTTAAGCGTCACTTTTATGGATAATTTCTGTGTCTCTTGTGCATCTATATATCAATAATGTGTGGTATGGATAAAGGAGTACAATAAATCTAAAAATGAAAAGGAGGGGGGTGTTAAATAATTAGTGTGTGAAGGAAGGAAAACAAACAGTCGAAATAGCCAAGAGCGTTGATACACGTTTTCTGTTTTATGTGTTAAGGAAAACGGAGCGAATCTAACGCATTTGAGCTCCCCACCTGAGACCTCCCATTGTAGGTACATACTGTAGGATCTCTTGCCCATGCCTCTTGTTCCTCCTCCTCCTCCTCCTCCTCGTCCTTCTTCTCCTCTTTCTCCTTTTCCACTTATTCCTCTTACACCTCCTTTGACCCCATCCCACACACAGACACTGAAAGCTGACAGGCGTTTCATTGCAGATACCCGCACTCTCACACCGTCCCAGCGTCTTCACATTCGACCAGCGGGAATCCTCTTTCTCTCCTGCCAAATCTTTTCCTTTCAAATCATTCTAAAGCAAATCGTGTGGGAGCTGCTTGTTTGATCAAAGGAGAATCACATTTTCTCTTCTGACATACTGTATACCATGTTGCTATATGATTCTACGATGACTGCCCGTGTGCAAGTCTGTGTGATATGTTGGAGCAAATTGTGTAAGCGCAGTGTACCCAAGTCATGTTTCTGTTTTTACTATAAGTATAAACTCACCTGGGTTATAGGTAAATCAAGTTAGACATTTTATAAGGAAGGCATTTTGTAAGACATTTTGCAGAACGATACGATGGCTGACTGTTATTTTATTTTTTCCCCAGGAGGATGCGAAGGTTGTTAGGTGATTAATGAAGTCGATTCTTTCGTCGGCAAATTATTTTTTCCTTTAGAGGCGATGATGTCCCAGCTGAAGTATAGTGTGTGGTGACAGTATATTGTGTGGTGACAGTATATTGTGTGGTGACAGTATAGTGTGTGGTGACAGTATAGTGTGTGGTTACAGTATAGTGTGTGGTGACAGTATAGTGTGTGGTGACAGTATAGTGTGTGGTGACAGTATATTGTGTGGTGACAGTATAGTGTGTGGTGACAGTATATTGTGTGGTGACAGTATATTGTGTGGTGACAGTATAGTGTGTGGTGACAGTATAGTGTGTGGTGACAGTATAGTGTGTGGTGACAGTATAGTGTGTGGTGACAGTATAGTGTGTGGTGACAGTATAGTGTGTGGTGACAGTATAGTGTGTGGTGACAGTATATTGTGTGGTGACAGTATAGTGTGTGGTGACAGTATGGTGACAGTGTGTGGTGACAGTATAGTGTGGTGACAGTGACAGTATAGTGTATTGTGTGTGACAGTGGTGTGGAGTGACAGTGGTGACAGACATGGTGACAGTGTGTGGTGACAGTATAGTGACGTGTGGTGACAGTATAGTGTATATTGTGGTGACAGTGTGTGTAATTATGTGAGTGACAGTATATTATTATGTGGTGACAGTATAATAGTGTGGTGACAGTATATTGTGTGGTGACAGTATATTGTGTGGTGACAGTATAGTGTGTGGTGACAGTATATTGTGTGGTGACAGTATAGTGCGTGGTGACAGTATAGTGCGTGGTGACAGTATAGTGTGTGGTGACAGTATAGTGTGTGGTGACAGTATAGTGTGTGGTGACAGTATATTGTGTGGTGACAGTATAGTGTGTGGTGACAGTATAGTGTGTGGTGACAGTATATTGTGTGGTGACAGTATATTGTGTGGTGACAGTATAGTGTGTGGTGACAGTATAGTGTGTGGTGACAGTATAGTGTGTGGTGACAGTATAAAGAAGTTCAGATAATACAAGGCTCTTCAATGCTCGTAATATAACTCTCCTTCAGATAACTCCACACTTAGATGCCTGTATTGACTCCTCTTAGCGAGTCTTTGTGTGGTAAGACCTTAAGACCTACACACGACTTGAGACCATTATCTCTCCCCTTCTCTCTCTCCCCCCCTCCCCCCGTCCCCTCCCCTCCCTCCCCTCTTAGATAATGGAGTCGATGATGGCGTGGGCGGGTTTAAAGAGTGTTGGGTAGCCTCAATAAGTGAACACCAGTATAAACAGATAGATAGAGAGCTATGTTATGTTGCTACTTCCCACCTGGTATTCATCACCCTCTGCCTCGCCTACAGGTAAGAGGTCGTTGGGTCTTTTACATTATTAGTCTCAGGTTAGGTTAGGTTAGGGTTAGGTTAGGTTAAGGTTAGGTTAGGTTAAGGTTAGGTTAGGTTAAGGTTAGGTTTCCACTTCTCAACCAGAAGCCTGAAAGGTACAGTTGTTGATTATTACATCTCTTAAGTATGTCTTTCATGATGATATAGTTGCTACTGTGTACTCTAGTGGTGTGTGTGTGTGTGTGTGAGTGTGTGTGTGTGTGTGTGAGTGTGTGTGTGTGTGAGTGTGTGTGTGTGTGTGTGTGTGTGTGTGTGTGTGCTGAGTCATGCCTGGGATCACGTTTCAACTGGGTTTCCGAGTATTTCACCTCGCTGTATGGTGCCCGACACAGCAGCAGGAAAAGCCGAACCGCTGGGGAGTCAGGCGAGTTGTGATTCTTTCAAAGGTGTGGAAATGATGCTACGGGTTGCTTAATGTTCACACTACAGGATTTTGTAGCTTATTCTTGAACAGTGGGGGGGGTGAGGGAGGGTGTGGGAGGTGGTGAGGGTGGGGGGGGCTGCTGCGAGGGTGAGGGAGAATGTGAGTGGGTGAGGGAGGTGGTGGGAGGTTGATAGTAAGAGAGTGAGGGAGGGTGAGAGAGGTGGTGGGAGGGTGAGGGAGGAGGAGGTAATTAGCGAGAGAGTGAGGGAGGTGGTGGGAAGGTGTGGGAGAGGGTGAGGGTGAATGGCGGTCATTTGTGAGAGGATGGCGGTATGAGGGGGCGATAAGGATCTACGTCACCCTGTTATCTTTCTTCCTGATGGTGGGGTCACTTTACGTCGACGACACTCCACAGGTCTTAGCGAAGTTAGGCTCTACTTTGTTTGGATACCTCTCACTCATCTGTTATTGGAGGGATATATTGAAACTTTTGAGTGTATTTTGAAATTTTTAAGGGTATTTTGAAGCTTTTGAGTGCGTTTGACCTATTTTTCTTAGCGAAAGAAAATATTAAAATGAAAAGGAGAAAAAATAAAGTGTAAAGTCTACGGATATATTCAGCCACGTTTCACAACCATAGCCTCTGTGTGCTGCGTCACCCAACAATAGGTAAAATAATAGTAAATTTGTCGTAATGAAACGTATTTAGATTAATAGTGACATATAGATATACTGCGACATAAGGTTCCATGATAAATTTACCTGTAGGAGTATACCTGGAACCTACCTGGATTCCTGAGGTGTGTGTGTACGTGGCGCTGCACTCACACTCACACACACACACATACACACACACATTGCACTATACACACATACAAAAACATTAACCATAAGGTGTGTGTGTGTGTGTGTGTGTGTAATAATTAATCCTCTGGTCAGTCGCTGAAAAAATCTCTTTACGTCAAACTAGTACAGTCTTATAACACTTCCAGAACCTAAGCAAAGGGCAACGTGTGGATAGTTCTCAGGTCCTGCAGGAACTTCCATGCTCTTAATCTTCCAATGTGTTTGTGTGTGCATGTGTGTGTGTGTGTGCGTGTAGTTAGCCTGCATCACATCAATTGTTGACACCAGACTGTAAATACCAAACAAAATCTTTTAACAATTACCTTGATAGAACAGCTTTTCTATTATCACACAGCTATGCGAGATACTGCTAACACTAAATTATAAATAGTGATAAGCTGACAGCTAATATAAAAGCTTTATTGTGTTGTTTGTTTGAGCTAAAGAGAAAAATTATCGTCGCTGGGAGAGAATGTTCCCAGACACCTGATATAACTCACTTGGGTCCAGAGAATGTTCCCAGACAACTGATATAACTCACTTGGGTCCAGAGAATGTTCCCACACACCTGATATAACTCACTTGGGTCCAGAGAATGTTCCCAGACACCTGATATAACTCACTTGGGTCCAGAGAATGTTCCCAGACACCTGATATAACTCACTTGGGTCCAGAGAATGTTCCCACACACCTGATATAACTCACTTGGATCCAGAGAATGTTCCCAGACACCTGATATAACTCACTTGGGTCCAGAGAATGTTCCCACACACCTGATATAGCTCACTTGGGTCCAGAGAATGTTCCCACACACCTGATATAACTCACTTGGGTCCAGAGAATGTTCCCACACACCTGATATAACTCACTTGGATCAAGAGAATGTTCCCACACACCTGATATAACTCACTTGGATCCAGAGAATGTTCCCACACACCTGATATAACTCACTTGGGTCCAGAGAATGTTCCCACGCACCTGATATAACTCACTTGGGAGAATGTTCCCAGACACCTAATATAACTCACTTGGGTCCAGAGAATGTTCCCACACACCTGATATAACTCACTTGGGTCCAGAGAATGTTCCCAGACAACTGATATAACTCACTTGGGTCCAGAGAATGTTCCCACACACCTGATATAACTCACTTGGATCCAGAGAATGTTCCCAGACACCTAATATAACTCACTTGGGTCCAGAGAATGTTCCCACACACCTGATATAACTCACTTGGGTCCAGAGAATGTTCCCAGACAACTGATATAACTCACTTGGGTCCAGAGAATGTTCCCAGACACCTGATATAACTCACTTGGGTCCAGAGAATGTTCCCAGACACCTGATATAACTCACTTGGGTCCAGAGAATGTTCCCACACACCTGATATAACTCACACACTTCAAAATACTGCCACAGGGTCAATAATAGGAGAGGCTGTGTGTGTGTGGAGGTCCTATGTGGTGTGGCGCGACTCTCTTCTGCAGGAAGTTGTAGTAGATCACAGTCCAACTTATGAAACTCTTTTGTGTGTGTGTGTGTGACAGAAGTTTTGTTGGTTAGGTTAGGTGGTTTATATAGAGACGTTGTGATCAATGAATATAGCTTCTGGTAGCTCCACTCTTTTGATGACAGTGATGATGATGTTAATAGTATGAGGTAGTGATGATAATAATGTTAGTGTTTATATTTGGTGTTAATTTTTGTGGCGTTCTTGGTTATAATAATAATAATAATAATAATAATAATAATAATAATAATAATAATAATAATAATAATGATAATAATACTCTCTCTCTCTCTCTCTCTCTCTCTCTCTCTCTCTCTCTCTCTCTCTCTGTGTGTGTGTGTTGTGTGGCGCTAAACTCAAGATCGGTGACAACCAAAAGTGGGTCGGTTCGTGATTCCAGCCCCAAAAGTGACTTGATTATGTACACGGCAGCAGCTCCTTGTAACTCATAATAACATCATCCAAGAATTATTTAATGCCTCTGGTGAGCTGCATCAGGGGTAAGAAATAAACAAGTTATCCCTCTCGCTAACCCACCTTCCCCCTCCCCCTTCCTCCCCCCTTCCCCTTCCTCCTCCCTTCCCCTTCCTCCTCCTTCTCCCTCCTCCTTCCCATCCGTCCCTTACCCCCCCCCCACTCTACCAGGTGACTCAAACCGGTTATTTTGGGTTAATTAAGCACAGCCAGAAAGGAAACTCGAGGTAAATTTGACTCCATGTTTACATCGCTTGAAGGTCGCATGCCTAGTACAGTGTTTTAACCTCCTGTCATAGTGAAGATATACCTGGATCAAAGGTATAACGTTGGGATATTAAGACTATCCACATATCCACTTACAGAGTAGGATTAGCTTGGGTACGTTTCAGGTGCGTGTGGGTGGAGGGGGGAGAGTGGAGGGGGGAGGGTGGAGGGGGGGGGTTAATGTTTACTCTGTGGCAGCGAATGAGAGTGTCGGGAGAGTTAATCTGGCGCGTGTTCAGCAGCTGTTGATCTCCGGCCCTGTAACCTAACCTAACCTAACCTAACCTAACCTAACCTGGTAGGCTGAGGTTCTGTAGAATGGCATTTCAACATAAAAATCATGTGGGAACTGGACCATCGTCCCTAATGCCGTGGTGGGCTGATGGACGAAGTGTGGTAGTGAAGCAACTGTCTCAAACTATTACCAATAAAACGTGTGGCAAAGTTTCAAGGTCTTACACTCAAGAGTTTTTACACGACATCTTGAAATATCGAAAAAAAAGAGGAAAAAATTTATATATGTCTTAAGCACAAAATATATCACACAGAGAAAGTATACAAAATATGTCTGAAAATATCACACAGGTAAAGGCATCTGTTTAGTCAGCATCTCAAAGCCGTTCCCGGACGTGAATTTAACAAAGGAGTCACAATATGTAGGAAGCTGGAACACAAATCTACGTTATTACACTACCAGTCTCCCAAAGACGCTTCAATAAACGAAATAAAATAGGAATAATTTCTCTTTGTGATGCAGAAACGTGTTTATTAGGACGACTCAAGAATAGGGAATGATGATAGAGGATTGTGTGTTATTTATAATAAGGGTACAATGTGTTCCTGGAGATGACTGACGGGCGGAGACTCGAGGTTGAAGGAGTGAAGTACCATGCGGGGGGCTTGATGAAAAGAGAATCCTAGGAGTGTCCTCTATGGTACAGCTAGTGTTGTGTCGAGTGCCCACAACAGGAAGATGAGACACAAAGGTGGTTTTATTCCTGTGTTGCAGCGTCTGAGGATCCGGTTAGATGGAGGAGGAGGTTACAATAAGTGGAGTAGCTTGATCTCTCTTTGTTCCTCACACACGACCATAGAGTAAGGTGTTGATATGGGTACCGTGGTGATGAAGGACAACACACACACACACACACACACACACACACACACACACACACACACACACACACAGAAGCTCCTAAAAAGTATCGAACTATCTCTCACTTAACCCCATCAAGTGAGTGGTGATCGCCGCCTCCGTCACCAGTAAGGCAGCGCTGTACCGCTTACTGTAGATCATGGTTGTTGATATAACTTATTGTCGTTATATTAATAATTAACAACAGCTAATTACCACTTACCCTTGGCTACTATAACAAGAAATTATTGACAAATATTGTTTCCTATGTGAATGGGAGGATGTAAGGGCGTGAAACGTTGGTGTGTGGCGTAACACATGAAGGAGCGCCTCTGTGTAGTGGTGCCTTACCTTCCTCATGCTGGCAGTAGGGACCAGGATGGTTGGGGAGCCTCTTCGGTCGCTGGCCACACTCCCTAGTTGGCCACACACCTCCGGGAGTCTCGTCCAACTAAGTTCGTCTTAGAGTTTAACGTTATGACCTGAAGGTGCTTAGAGCGCGGGGTGAGAGGGTGGGTTGGGAGGCTCTAGACTGACGTCTTGGGACCTACGAGTATTGAAACACTGTGTGTGTGTCACCGAGTGGGTCGGGAGAGGCGGTGGTTGTCAGTCACAGTACACACTTATTAATAGAGGCGGCAGGTGTGCAGGAGGCGGCAGGTGTGCAGGAGGCGGCGGGTGGTGGTGGAGAGCGGCCGTGATGGGCGGCGGTGTGTCTCGGTAGACCACGTGGGGCGACACACACCTGCCTCGCCTTTATATCCCCCTATACTCACCCAGCCACGCATGCCCGCCTCTTCCATCCCACGCACCTACACCCCTTACACACACACACACACACACACACGTACATACGCGCGTCTACACTCACTCATTCATCACCTCCTGCCCGGGGTCCTCATTCATGGCGGGTACTGAACGCTGGGTCATAGTTAACATTATTATTATTATTATTATTATTATTATTATTATTATTATTATTATTTCAGAAAGGCGGGATATTGGGCTACCGTAACTTAACCAGGAATTCTTTATTTGTCCTCACTAAGTCATTTCCACTCTCTTACCATCTCTCCTCACCCTTCCTCCCTCCTCATTCATCCTCTATCTGGAAAAACAACAACTTTATCTTCTTCTCTTCTAATGACCTCGTCCTCTACAGCTCACTAGTCACACACACACACACACACACACACACACACACACACACACACACACACACACACACACACACACACACACACACACACACACACCTTGTTACGTCTGTCTATGAGTGTTGTTGTTTTATTTCAGCCCTGTGTTTATTTTGTTATTTTTCCCCAACTCGTGGAATATAATATGGTCTCTCTCTTGTGTTTAGTGTCCTTCTCAGGCAGTCTTCTCCAACCCTGGTAGGTGGAGGTGGTGGTTGTGGTGGTGGTGGTAGGTGACTGTGGTGGTAGATGGAGGTGGTGGGTGTGGTGGTGGTAGTAGGTGGAGACGTGTGTGTGTGTGGGCAGCGCATAATGTCACCATGATCTACTGTGATTACCAACACACATACACCTGCCGTCACCAGTCTCAAAGGTAATCACACCTGACGATGCTGTAACTCTTAATGAGGTGAT